CACAGCAAAGGAAGTTAGGACTTAATAGAATCAAAGAGTTGGAGCAGGAGTTGTTTGGAGAGGTGAGATTGCAATTGGCTGGGGCAATCAGAATAGGTTCCATTGATTGGATTAAAGAGGATTAAACTAAGCCTTATAGGATGATTTGTTTTCAGTTAGAAGAACATAGCCATGGTAGAATTTCCAGGAGGTAGCAATACACTGATTGAACCCAAGAGTTCCCCTGATCTAGATGCTGTCAATATTGAAGGCTGGGGGCTGGGACCACTGCTTAACACAATCCTTCAGTTATCCTGCAATTGCAAAGTCCTTTTTGCTAGTGGTGATGTCCTTCTCCCCAAACTACCAATCTCAGGCAGATACAGCTTTCAATCTCTCTCTCAACTACTTCACTGGCCTTCCATTTTTAACATTTTCTCTAATATCATAATGATAGCTATCAACAACTTTGTGAAGTAGGCATTTAGGTCGCCATTTTATAGAGGAGGAGATTGAGATTAAGGGTTAAGGAATCTCCCTAAAGTTTCACCACTAAACTTGGGTTGGCACCCTAGTGTATCTGATTTCAAATCCAGACCAAATCACTATGCTTTGATGCCTGCAGTTCAAGCAAAGCAAAGAAAAAGATCTCTTTGTTACTTTAAATTTGGGATCATCAAATTAGATCTTGCAGATTGATCCAAAGCACTTATATTTATAGGCTGCTTAGTCTTCCTTAGTGTCAACACAGCTATGGGGACTCTTTCTAAGGCTACATCTATCTTAGCAGCTGCTGCCAGCTTATGGAAAACAAATTGGGATGGGACAAAAGAGAGGAGATTGAAATTCATTTGAGTGACAGCTTTCTTACCTTGGTCAAGAGATAGTACATTTGTGGCATTCTTGGATCTCTAGGAGTGGAAGAATTCCTTGAGATCTGAGTTCAGCCCTATTTCTGCAAAATTGCAAGACTTGTTCAGTACTTAACATTCCATCTGTTACCTTTTGGCAGTTGTTTTTCTTTAATCAAAGGTACTCATTACTTGAAGCTTCCTTTCACTATATGGGATGTGTTAAAGATTCATTCATTCATTCATTCATTCATTCATTCATTCATAATAAGACAGCTTAGAAAGCTAGAGAGGGTAAAATAATCACCCTTTAATTTGGTCTTTTCTTTTGCAGACAGCCCACTCCTCCCACCCCAATCAATGTTCCCAGAGCAAAAGCCTCTTCCAGATTCTGGAGTAGAGGGGTGCCTGGGTGGCTCAGATGGTTAAGTATCTGCCTTCGGCTCAGGTCATGATCCCGGGGTCCTGGGATCGAGTCCTGCATCGGGCTCCCTGCTTGGTGGGGAGCCTGCTTCTCCCTCTGCCTCTCTCTCTGTCTCTGATGAATAAATAAAATCTAAAAAAAAAAAAAAAGATTCTGGAGTAGATCATAGCAGATGCAGGCTCAGGATTCTTTGTAAGTGATGGCTTCCCAATCCCTGAAGCCAGAGGTGTTCTCCATTTTTCAGCTGATAACTCCATTACCAGGTGCTGAAAATTCTTGGGTAAAATCACACCATGATGAAAGGGATCAAATATGAAAAGAAGATTGTGGAAGACATTTCCCAAATACTTCAGAAATCTTTTAGGATATTCTGGGCTCAGCGAGGCACTGGGCTCTCCAGGACCACCTGTGTATGTGGACATGCCATTCCAAATTTAGAACTGCATGAAGCTAGCAGGAGCTTGGGAAGTTAACGTGGAAAATTTGAGGCCAACTCCCAAAGGGACAGCAATTAGTCTTAATTGCCTGCTGGTGCCACTGTGTGTTCCTCTAGGAGAATCTGCACAGTGATCCTTCCCTAACATTTGATGATGATGATGATGATGTTGATGATGATGATGATTGACGACGACGACAACTGTAAGAGTAACAGGAGCAGGCTAACATTTACTGTGCATTTACTGTGTGCTAGGCACAATTTGGTTGTTCACATATATGAAATCATTTAGTCTGAGAGCAGCCCTATGAAGTCAGTATTACGATTATTGTCTACATTTTACAAAGTTAGCTGAGGCATAGAATTCAAGTTACTTGCCCAAGGTCACGTAGTTAATAAGTGGTGGGATTTTAATTCAGGCAGTCTATATTAGTTATCTATTATTGTGTAACAAATTACCCCAAACTTAGTGACTTAATACTTATTTTCTCACAGCTCTGGGGATCAGGAATCTGAACTTGGCTTCACTGGGTCTTCTGACTTCTGAGTCTCTCATGGGCTGCATTCAAGGTATAAGCAAGGCTGCCCACACCAAGGCTTTATGAGGGAAGGATCTACTTCCAACGTCTTTCACATGTTTATTGACAGGATTCAGTTCTTTGCGGGTTGTCGGACTGAGGCTGCGGCTCCTCTCTGACTGGTGGACAAAGGCTTCTCTCAGTTGCTGGAAAACTCTCATAGTTACGCCATTAACTGTGAGGAAAATGAGAGTTGTGAATAATGATTATTTTTTAAATTCCTATTTTAAAGGGGAGGCTCAGTCGGTTAAGCGTCTGCCTTCAACTCAGGTCATGATCCCAGGGTCCTGGGATTGAGGCCCACGTTGGTCTCCCTGCTCAGCGGGGAGCCTGCTTCTCCCTCTCCCTCTGCCTGCCGCTCCCTCTGCTTATGCTCTTTCTCTCTCTTGCTCAAATAAATAAATAAATAAAATCTTAAAAAAAAAAATAAAGTTAGTGATGAGAGCAGTTTACCTCAGGAAGTCACTCTTCTCTCTTCCTCTCTCTTCTTGTCCTTTGTCTTTCCCTCTATAATTTTGTATGTCTCTCTGTGGCACTTTCTCCACTTTCATCCTGTGTCTCTCCTCCATTCCCCTCCCACCTGACCAGCTTTTTCTTCCTATCTTCTTATTGCTCTGTACTTTTCTTTATCCTTGATCCTTCTTAGTCTCTAGGTTGTCTTTCATAAAATTTTAATCTATAAAAAGTTTTTAGGAAGAAACAAGTCCACCAAGCAAATTCACAGTAAGGCAGTATGATGGTCAGTTTCATGTGTCAACTTGGTTGGGTGATAGTGCTCCGTTATTTAATCAAACATGAATCCAGGTATTGTTGTTGTGAAGGCATTTTGTGGATGTGATTGAGATCTGCAGTTGACTTTATGTAAAGGAGATTATACTCAGGATAATCTGAGCAGGACCGATGCAGTCCGTTGAAACAGATTTCCTTCCCAGCAGAAGAAGAAATCTTGCTTGTGGACTGCAACATTAGCTCTTGTCTGAGAGTTTCCAGCTTTCTTGTCCTGACAGTGTGCTCTACAGATTTGGGACTTGCCTAGACCCCACAACTGCATAAATCAATTTCTTTCAATAAATTTATACAAATACATGTATATTTATTTATGTATGTTCATTTATATAAATATACGTGTGTGTATATATGTATTTGTGTGTATAAATTTCGATCTAAATCTAGGTATGTAAAGAAATACAGAACCTACTGATTCTGTTTCTTGGGTGGGATCTTGAACAACACAGGTGGGAATGTTCAATAGTTCTGATAGGGTCTTTATAGCAGTTGGGAGAGGGAGGCATAAAAGAAGAATTACTCAAAGGAATGAATTTTCAGAGCTACTATTTTTTTCTAGATGAGAATTGTGGATGTCCCTCAAGTTATGCCATGCTGGCTACCATGTCAGCCTGAATTAGTCCTTGATGATATCCTCTTCAGACTTTTTCAGCCACTCTTCTCTGTCCCATCAAAACTTCCTTGTCATGTTTTCCATTCTCTTAGGGAACTACTTGCTAGCAAATTGTTCTATTATTCTGTTTTATTCACATTTATGCCACTTAATATAGGTTATATATATATTTAAATATATATATTTAAGTATATAAAATATAGGTTATAGGGGCACCTGGGTGGCTCAGTCGTTAAGCGTCTGCCTTTGGCTCAGGTCATGATCCCAGTGTCCTGGGATTGAGCCCCACATCGGGCTCCCTGCTCAGTGTGAAGCCTGCTTCTCCCTCTCCCACTCCCCCTGGTTGTGTTCCCTCTCTCGCTATCTCTCTCTGTCAAATAAATAAATAAAATCTTTTTAAAAAATAAAAAAATAAAATATAGAAAAAAATATATAAAATATATATATAAATATATATATAATATATAAATATATAAAAATATAAAAAAATAAAATTATAAAATAAAAAATAAAAAATAAAATATATATATTTAAATATATTTAAAGGATGATTGATGAATTTACATTTAAACAAGAGCATTCAATGTCTTTTTTTTTTGCTTTATTCATTTTTTTAAAAAATTTATTTTAATTCCAGTATAGTTGACATAAAGCATTATATTAGTTTCAGGTGTACATTGGATGTCTTAACCCAGAGATAAGACTAATGATCAGGTTCATGCACCACAAAGGGTCAGTGAAAGGGAAATACTTTAGGGCAAGAGCACCTCTTCCTTGATTCTTAAATCCTATTACTTGGGTAGCTGCCTAATTGGCCACCCATAGTCATACGACATTTCTGTGTCTGTACCAATATGTGGTCTTAGACTAACACTAAGCCAGGCACACTGCCTGTGCCCAAACTCTGCACGAAGATCACCCATCTCAAAGTGTGGCCTGAGGACCCCTAGAGGTTCCTAAAACACTTTCGGGGGGTCTGCTAGGTCCTCCTTTTCCAGCTACTTAATCTGTGCAAAGCTGTATCTTCTTCATAGACTTCAATCAAAACAACACATCACAGCAGATTATAAACAAGGAAGCAGATATGAGAATCATGTTCTCCTTTATTAAGCCATCCATTAAAGAGATTCGAAAAAATGCAGAACAATGCCATTTTTCTCACTAATTTTTTGGAAAGTGAAGTTATTTTTCATGAAATACATTACATGCAATGAGGGTATTCTTGTTGTTTCAAAATAACAATAAACAATAAAGAACTGTTTTTAAAATTTTATGTTTTAATTTCTAATATGATAAATATCATTAGATACAATCTACATAAAAAAAAGCTCTTTGTGTCTTCAATAATTTTTAAGAGTGTAAGGAAGCCTAAAACCTAAAAGCATCAGACCCTGCTACTAAAGATCATTGATTACATTTCTGCTGGACCAGGAAGCACAATATGCCTCTAGGGGTGGCTGGCTGGCCCCAGGAACTGGGAGCAATTTAGAGTGACATGGAACCTCGAGTCTGTCCCATTTGCTAGTCACCAAATCCACATAAGAGGTCATGTTTCATATTCCTCCTTATCTTCTACAGAGCCCAGCAGAGCCATGAACACACAATACACACTATAAAATTTATGGACCGATTTTTATTAATCTTCAATTCTGCAAAAAGTATTCATTTAGAATAAGGAGATATCCGCCATACAGCTCAAGAAGCATAATGTCAATCTCAAAAGCTAAAACTCAAGCAGTTTGGGAGACCCCCTTCTTCAGCCCGGAGACTGAAGCCTTTTCTTATGAGCCCATGGAGTCACCACGTTCAGGAGATTCTGATATTTTCCTTTGGTTAGAGACACAGGCAGGACATGACAGCAGTTTTACAGCGTGGAATCTTAGATAAACTATCAATTAGTGCCTGGCGATATAGAACCCAAGGTGTATGACTTGTACATATGCTCTATTCGAGTACAGTTTTGTTCTGTTTTGTTTTTTTGCTAGAGAGAGAGCGTGGGAGAGAGAGAGCGCACGAGAGCACAAGCAGGGGGAGCAGCAGGCAGAGGGAGAAGCAGGCTCCCCGCTGAGCAAGGAGCCTGATGCGGGGCTCCATCCCAGGACCCTGGGATCACAACCCCAGCCAAAGACAGACACCCAACCGACTGAGCCACCCATGTGTCCCTCGAGTACAGTTTTTAAGTCCAGACTACAGCATGGTTACAAGTGCTGAGTCAAAGCTCATCTTGTTGGCTGTGAGATTTGGAGTAAATTTCTTATACTCTATCAGCCCCAGTTTCCCTATCTGTATAATGGGAATAATAGTAATATGCCTTGAAATGATGGAGGTGAAAATCAAATGCTGGACTGTACAGTAAGCTCTTAGCCTGTGTGCCTGGCACATCGAAAGACCTGGAAAAAAATGTCAAATACTACTATTATCTATCTAACACTTCTTTGTGCTCGGCAGAGTAGCGGGGCTGGGAAATGGACTTTCTGTTCTTATTTGGTAGTTAATATTTAATATGCTAAGCACTAGAGAGACCTACTGTTTCCCATAGTCCTTGCTGAGGAGGGGAAAGGAAAATACAGATCTTGTCTCGCTTCTTTTTCATTCTCAGCAAAAGCCCAAAGGTGGAGGAAAAGGAAGAAGAGGAGAACAACCACTCATTTAGTAAAGAAAATGTGCTTCCACTCTGATGTGCTGCATGTGAGTTTGCAACAATCCCCTTCACTCCAGCCAGATCCTATTTGTGTTCCAACAGGCACTTCTCCTGCCGGGGCAGAAAGACCACGGGGTTGACCGGGCAGTGTATCTGTTTGCTGTGGGTCCTCGGGCTGCCGACTAAGTCTTGGGGCAGAGTTGGTTTTCAGGTCTGGAGCCAGGAAAACATACCCCCCCTTAATGCGCACATACTTGCAGTGTGACACATGGCTTGGAAGCCGGTCACTTAGACTGGAGCGGCCGCCTGATTTGTTTCCCGGGAAAGATTGTCTTCATGAGATATTATTAGGGATGAATGCTGTGAGCGCTGTGCACTGGGGACAAGGCCACCTAACTTCAAAGGCTCCCCCCGCCTCCCCAACCCCCCGCAAGCTGGGCTGTGTCAGCCGCAGGCCCAAAAAAGATCTTTCAGTGGGGAGAGCACTGTGACTTGCCCAGTAGCTGCAATTGAGACTCAAAGGGCTGATTTCAGGCAGGGATAGGCTGTTTGTCTGGAGAAGGGCTCGGGGACTGCTTTCATGTGCCGCTGAAGGAATAGAGAGCAGCGGGGATTCAGACCGAATGACTAGCTCTGGTATGTGCTTGAATTAAAACCAAGGTAAACAAGGAAACACCTGCCACTTCACCAGTGGTGGAATTGGCATCACAAGAGGCAAACTAAGGCAGGGGGTTGGGACAGGAAGGTGTTGAAAATGAGCTGGACCAATCCACTTGTTCTAGAAGATGGTGCCAAAATAGTAGAGAAGTTGAAAGTAGCAATGCCATGTAACATCTGCAAAGAAGCAATAAAATAAAATAAAAGCAGATTATTTCACCAGAAGAGTGAAAGGCCAAGGAAAGGGTACAACAAAACTTTGGTGTTTTTTTTTTTAAAGATTTTATTTATTTATTTGACAAAGAGAGCAAGAGAGCACAAGCAGGGGGAACAGTAGAGGGAGAGGGAGAAGCAGGCTCCCCGCCAAGCAGGGAGCCCGATGCGGGGCTCGATCCCAGGACCCTGAGATCATGACCTGAGCCGAAGGCAGACGCTTAACCATCAGAGCCACTCAGGCGCCCCAAAGCTTTATGTTTAACAGGCTGTTTCCATTACTAGTGGACAGAGGAGGAGGAAATGGGTTTCTCCTTGCCTGTTAGGAATTTGGGTAGCACCATGAGAACCCTGTTGCTACAATGACAGTGGGGAGGAAAACAGGGAAGCTAATGGAACACATGCCTCAGTGAATCTTTTGTTTTGTTTTTTAAGTAAGCTCTATGCCCAATGTGGGGCTTGAACTCACAACCCTGAGATCAAGAGTCACACGCTGTACTGACTGAGCCAGCCAGGTGCCCCACCTCAGTGAATCTTTAAAACATGAGTGGCCCCCTTGTGTTAGGAGCGACGCAGGGCCACCTTTCAATTCCAGGCAGTGAGTTCCAAATACTGTAGTGCATGATTTTCTACATACTCTTTTGACCTAAAGAAACACTTCCATTATTACCCCAGACAGCAATGAGGCAATAGCAGGGATGAAAAATAACCAAGGCGAGAAATAAAAATATCAAGTAGCAAATGAAAGTTTCATTCACTGATGAATGAAACAGGATTTTTAGAAACAAGGAAGTATGAACAGGAAAAAGTGGGAGATTGTTGGCATGCTTATTTTAATTTTCTAAGTATATGTTCTTGTTCTAAGTATATGTTCTCAACAATTTGCAGCTCACTCCAGATTCTAAATGGCCCTTCCTGAGTTTCACACCTCTACATAATTAGGTTAGGTCGCCCCCTGGTGGCATGGAGCTAACCTAGCTTCTCATAAAGCATGTGTGTCCTCTGTTACCTCTTGGATTGGAGTTCAGTATTCGGGTATATAGCGCTTTCACATACAGCAAATACAAACTCACAACTTTAACAGAACGAAGAAACAATAAACATCTAATTATGGTTCCTGTTTTAATTTCTTGTAAAGAGTTCAGAAAGCAATTTGGGATCTTGAAGAACTTAAGGAATATTTTCTGCACTATTGTATTAAAAGAGGTGTCTTTAGGGCGCCTGGGTGGCTCAGATGGTTAAGCGTCTGCCTTCGGCTCAGGTCATGATCCCAGGGTCCTGGGATCGAGTCCCGCATTGGGCTCTCTGCTCCTTGGGAGCCTGCTTCTCCCTCTGCCTCTCTCTCTCTCTGTCTCTCATGAATAAATAAATAAAATCTTTAAAAAAAAAAAAGAGGTGTCTTTATAAGGATACTGTGTTTGAGGTTAATCAGATATCTGCTAAATAAGCTTTCCCTGTTGATGGCAAATAAAACATTCTGATTTATAAAGGTATGTTCTCAGTGAAGACAACCTTCATAAACCTACTTGAACCTCAAAAGGAAAAAAAAGGCCAACAACCATTGAAAATATCTGAGAGATAAGAAAAAATTTAATTTCAGTAATTGTCCAAGCAACAAGATTAATCAATAAACATGATTCTAATCTTGATACCATCATTATCTAGCTGTGTGTTTTTGGATTTCATTAGATCCTCCAGTAGTCTAAAAACAAATGTCTTAATATTTTGCTTAAACTACCTCCAATATTACTTGTGACCCAAATATTAACCAAATTAATATAACTCAATATTAATTCTCTCCAGGAGACTGTAATCAGCACAGACCCAATAATATGTACATACACATTATAAAGACAATTATAAAAATAGTGAATGCATGAGGAAATTGTCCTCTGATTATGTGGAAGACACTGGGAAATATGGCAGAAATAAGCATTAAGTTGACATGTTTGGGCACAGCTACGAGGAGAGAGCCTGGCAGTTAATTTTCAAGGTCAGATTTTGGAGGAAGAGGCTGTGATGAATCCAACTTTGGTCAGAGAGGCTCACACAGGTCTATATAACTGGAGCTGTGAATAGGGTGAATAGGATGGGGCAGGGGCAGATAACTCAATAGATGTCCATGGCAGGCACAAACACCTGTCAGTCTTAAAAAATTGAATGACCTCTTGCTTTGACCCTTAATAAGTATGTGTTTATGCTCCTGCTATTGTTGTTGATAATTAATGAAGTACATATTTTTCATTTATCTCATTAAATTTAGGTAATATAACCAAAGCTATATTATTCAGTTAATATATTCTAACCCATGCCAAAAAAGGTTTTACGGCCCTATAGGAGATTTCTTACAAGGAATATGGTATAATAAAAAAATTAATCTCTAAGGTAAAAATGCATCTGAGCCTTAAATGTCTGCTATAAACCTCTATAATTTGGGGGAAAAAGTCAAATTTTAATAAGATTTGAGACAAGAACAAAGATCATTGAGAGAGTACTCTTACTATGTTTTTGCCTAATATTAAAATTCATACATTAGCTATTTCCTCTGGCATTGCAAACCAGTAGGATTATTAGTTAATGTCCATTTTATTAATTAGGGGGGAAAAAATCAAAGGATTTCTCAAGATCACAGAAAAAGTCCTTAAAGAGTCATCATGGTTTTTGTTTGATCCATCCATCCAACCATCCATCCATTTATTCATCAGATATTTATTGACCAAATCTGTATATTATGTATGTACCCTTATAAGGGTAGCAAAGGGGGGCACCTGGGTGGCTCAGTGGGTTAAGCATCTGCCTTTGACTCGGGTCATGATCCCGGGGTCCTGGGATCGAGTCCCGCATCGGGGTCCCCGCTCTGCGGGGAGCCTGCTTCTCCCTCTGCCTCTGCCTCTCTCTGTCTCTCATGAATAAATAAATAAAATCTTAAAAAGAAAATAAGGGTAGCAAAGGTGAATAAGATATAATATCCCTGTATGCAAGTAGTTTGCAATATAGTAGGACCAATCAGACAGCTACATGTATAAATATAGAAAGTAGGCTAAAATAGGTGCCTTGGAAGTCATAGGATTGGAATTTCAGAAAGTAAAGACCTTGAAAATTATTCAGTCCAACTTCTCTCATCGTGTATAAATATTCAATAGAATATTTGGTATCCAAGGTCTTAACACTGAGTATATATATTGTACTATCTATAGCATATATATTATAATACATGAAGAGTGTTAAGACCCGGGAGATGTGTATATACTTTATATATATATATAATACACGTTATATATCTTCCTCTGGTATACTATATATAGCATGTATATTATAATACATGAAGAGTGTTAAGACCCGGGAGGTGTGTATACACGTTATATATATATATATATATAATATATATATATATATATATTACACATTATATATCTTCCTCTAGTGTACTATATGTAGCTTGTATATTATAATACATGAAGAGTGTTAAGACCCGTGAAAGTGTATAAAGTGTATACACTTTATATATATATATATAATACACATTATATATCTTCCTCTAGGTTGTGTTTTTCCAGAGAGGAACTGAAAATCTTTCTGCATTCTGGTTTGCCCTCTTTGGATTGTATCTGTATTGTCCTTATATGTACTGTTTAAATTGGATCTGATCTACTCAGGAGTGTAAGGGGGCCATTTTATCTCATGATATTTGTTATACTTCTAATGAATTATACAAAAGTATGGAGCATCTATGGTACATTGAGGGCTTGCATTATACTTGAAGTCAACTAAAGCTCCAGATCTTGCTGCTCTGGCCATCATCCTGGCCAGGGAGAAGTACGGTCTGTGGTGGAGAGAGGGAGGGGTATGGGTGGGCTAGTTAAGGAAATGTTTCTTGCACTTGCTGAGTCTTTAGACAGAATCTGGGCACGTGGACAGAGGAGTAAATAAGGCTGGCTCCTGTCCTGGGTTTGGGGACCCAGGCTCAGGAGAAAATCAAAAAGAGAGTTCTGGATGAGGGCAGGCCAGAACACAAGGGAAATTCAGGGAAATTCAACATCTAAGAAGCAAGTTGAGACAAAAATCAAGATCCATAGTAAAATGGCTTCAGTAAGGAACAGACAAAAATAAAAAGCAGGTTTCAGAGGTGGAATCCAGAAAGGTAACTCAAAGCAATTTTAGGTCTTCCAGGGGTGAGCCCCAAGAAGAAGAGGGAGCTGTTAAGAGGACAAAGCCTGTTCTGGCATCTTCACTTAATCAACATTCACCCTGCACCATGCCCTGGGCCAAGCACTAGCTGTAACAGGTGAAGAAGACCTATGTCCAGATCTCAGAATTCTTACAGCCTCCTTTGGGAGCTAGACATAGGTCATCCCCCTCCTACATGATGTGGTTAGTACAATGACGGAGAACACACAGGGCCCACAGAAGAAGAGCAAGAGCTCTGGGGGAGGCACTTGTCTCATAGGTTGCAAAGGAGTTGAGTGGATGGAAGGAAATGGGGAGGGACTTTCTATGATGGAAGAGAAAAGTCAAGTGAAGGCCTAGAGGATGAGAAGAAGCTCATGTAAAAAGGAGCTCCTTGTAGTTCTGTGTAGTTAGACTGTCCAGTGTAAATCACTGTAAGTTGATTTTTTCCTTTCCTGTACTTGAGACATTATGGTTAGAACCTAAGTAAAGGTCTTTACACTTATCAATTTTAGTATTTATATTATTATTTTTCCCTCTTATAGTAATCTTAGAATATCTTTAAAGTATCAAAGGTTTTTTTTTTTTTTAAAAGATTTTATTATTTATTTATTTGACACAGAGAGAGTCACAGCGAGAGAGGGAACACAAGCAGGGGGAGTGGTGGGGGAGAAGCAGGCCTCCCGCCGAGCAGGGAGCCCGATGCGGGGCTTGATCCCAGGACCCCAGGATCATGACCTGAGCCGAAGGCAGACGCTTAACGACTGAGCCACCCAGGCGCCCCAGTATCAAAGTTT